TTGCCTCTGGGAGCTTGACCCTTGGCTTTTATTGACTATACACAGGAGGCGGTTTGAAAGGTGGACAGGCAGGCTGCTGAGCCATCTTTCTTCCTCCAGGTGTCGGCAGGCGACTGGGAGGGAAGTCACTCGGTGTTAGGGGAGAGAAGTCTTCTCAGTGCTCTGGGTTTGTCAGAGTAGGCAGGATGTAGGGTAGGTTGGCTGTGTGGCTGTCCTTCTTTCTCCAGGTGGTGACTGGCGATTAGAGGAGAAGTCATTCGTGCACAGGAAAGCATGATGGCTATCTTCTGGGAAATGACTTGTAAGACGAATAAGCAGCTTGTGCCAGAGATCCTTGTCAGAGCGTATATCTTGATAGGACTAGTCAATGCTGTAGCTTCGAGTGACATTTGAAGTGATCCCGGTTGGATCTTATCCCTTTTAGTCAAGGCGTGTTGAACCACGAGCCATCGTTATGATTTGGCGATCCGACAGTCGAGTGGACTTCGGGTCGGGCGCGTAATCGAGTCGTCTGCTCGAGGAGTCACTTTATTTGCGAGAGAACAACTGATCCCGTTCTTCGAGTCGGTCATGATGACTTGTCGGTTGGAATAAGGCTTGTCGACTAGTCTAGTCGAGGGACTTGGCTCTGACTGTGCTTTTGAGCCTCTAAAGTCGATTCAGACTGTAGCTCGCTTAGGCTTATGCAAGTATTCTTCATGTACTTTTATTTTGTTATGGTGAATGATCATAACAAAAAGGTTTATTATTTTCTAATTTGATGTTTTCAGTGAAAGTCTGGGGAGTAAAAGATGGTATTAGATATTTGGTGAGTGATAAGTTTTTTCATGTCTAGAAGTATATATTTTCAATGCTATTAGTTTTCCTATTGTCTGAAGGTGAATGTTGGCAAAATTATTCAGTTCAGCCACAAAAGCAATGCTATCGTGTCTGGCTATGCTAATAGAAGATTCAAGAGTTATGATGGGAGTAGCTGTAACTTTTTCTTTTCCAACTTTTGTTGGTTCAAGGGTGGATGTAAATATTTTATTTATTTATCTTTATCTGTTTTACATGTGCGTGTGCGCACACACACACGTATATATATGAGAAAAATGGGTATGCTTGGTACCAAGCATAAATTTTGTGCTTGGTAGTAGAGGTCTCATATTCCCATCTACTCATTCCAATTCCCAACCACTCCCCAACCCATGTAAATATGGGTCCTGATTTTAATGAGTGGAGGGGAATATGCCACCTTCCTACCAAGCATACCCATCTCTCTCTCTCTACACACACACACACATACATATGCTCATTAATCTCTCTATATAGATTAATGGGTATGTGTGTGTGTAGATTAATGGGTATCATATGCCATATAAGGGGATTCCCTTATATACAATGATGTGCACAATCTCCACCAAGTGAATAAAGTAGGAGAGAGAAGTAGGAGAGAGAATGTGTTGTAGTGGAGATTGTACCACATCATTGTATATGAGGGAATCCCCTCATATGACATATGATACCCATTAATCTATACATATGTGTGTGTGTGTGTGCACATGCGTACATGTAGATATACATATACATACATATACTTATGTATGTACATATACATGCGTATATGTATGTTTGTACACGCACACGTATAATATATATTCACATATATATTTTTGTTTTAAATAAAGAGTTTGAAATTGGGAAGAAATAATTAAATATGCTTTTATAAATATAAATATAAGTTTAACAATTTTAAAAATAAACAAATTTGAAGATAAAAACTCATGGGTCGATCTACGACCTATGGCCTATAGGCCAAATTCGGGTCGGCCGACCCCTAAGTGGGTCTTCATCCGGGCTGAATTCAGTCCTGAACCTAGGATTAGAGAAGCAGGCCTAGTCCACTATTACCCGCATGGGGTCGGGTCAGACTTGGCCCATCCTTGAATCTAGGGGTTTAGTTCACAAGCCTAAATTGGCTTGGCCCACAACCATGCCTAGATTTGAGCATCGCATTGCATTATTATGAGGACTTATAGTGGTAATAATGGAAGTTGGTGATAGTCATAAGATGGAGGCTGAGATGGCTCTCTTTGGGACTAGGGAGTAGAGCAGGGGGTAGGGGTGGGGGGTGGGGGATGAAACAACGAAGTTGGGAATATCTAAAAAATGATGTAAGTTAAAGAGTTTCATTTTAGACCGAAATGCTTGAGTCTAAATAAAAACTAGGACAAAATTTAAAAACTGACCCATTTACAAAAATATTAGCAAAAACTGACCTGTTATGAAAATATTAATCAAAACCGACCTAGTTTCACCCGTCAGGCTGAAACTAGGTCGATTTTGAAGAAAAAAACTATGAAACTTTACGAGACTTGATGTCCCATGAAGTTTAGCAGCCGTTTAATTAATCTGCTTAACTTCACGGGACTTCAAGTCCCATGAAGTTTCATAGTTGAAAAAAACTTCACGGGACTTAAAGTCCCGTGAAGTTTGTTAAAGGGAGAGCCAAAATTAATTTCACGCATCAAACAATAGCAATAGCAAGGGCAAGCTGATGAAAATAAAGTGAGGGACGAGCACACATTCTCGATTTCGGATTCTGGAGCGAGGCCCACAAGGGCGCTGTTGCTGGAGGTAGGAGAGGAATCAGCGGCG